TGATATAGTGCAGGTTTTAACAGGGTTAGAGGCAGCATATCAGGGCTGTTTTGTAGCAATTTTGGAGTGGAGTGGCAACTTGGTGTAGGTATGGCTTTGTACAAGACATCATACTATTTTTTAACATGGTTTTGGGCAAGTAGCGACAGACTTGGACTTGGCAGCATATCTGCTTTTGGGGATTTTCTGGACAACAACATTTGTAGCATGATACAAGTCTGGTTTTGTGGACAGATTTATGCAGCTTGTAACAAAGACAAGGCATATTTGTAGACAACATAGTGACAAAGTTTGAAGATTGAGTCAAAGGGAAAAGTTCAAATAAGACAAAGCTTAGGATTTGTAACTTGCAATTTTTAACTTAAAAATGCAGTCTTATTGTTTACATGAAAGCTTGTAATAATTTGAATTATCTTGAATTGTGGTGAAAAGATGTCATGAAGTAATGAAATTAACATGTATAGAAAACACTTAGAAAAATTTTCAAGTCTTGCAAAGTTTGATTTTTGACTTACTTGATTTCTTGATGATCAAATTTCATATTTTGAATATCTTGATGAAATATGATCTTTGAAACTCAAATTTGATCAAAAAGTCAAAATTTGACTTTTTAGTGTACGGTTGACTTTTTCATCAGTTGACCAAATTTCATCTATCAATCCATTGATATCGGGAGATAAATTGAAATATGCGATTAGGTTCAAATGATATACTTGAATCCTTGAGATCATGTTTCAAACCAATAAGTCATGTACTGGGTCAAAAGTCAAAGATTGGTCATTCTCAGTCAAAACCCTAATTTTGACCATTTTGCCATTTTGATGATTTGAACGATTTTCTTGGAGAATTATGGTCCAATCTTAACCAAATGATACATATGACTTCAAAATGTTGATATTGGTCCAAAATCTTGAAGTTTGACTGTAGGTTGACCACAATTGACTTTTTCAAATACAATTGAATTTAGGTCATCTGATTAATTGACAAAGCAATTTTGTGATCCAAAACCTAGCCAATACTTGTGTAAGCTCGAATCATTGAAGATCTTTGTGAGAAATATCTTGAGAAAAGGGAGGGAAAATTTTGGGGTACAACAGGAACAAACAACAAACCTCCTAAACATCCTTCAGGCACAACAAAACCTTGCACATAGACACCACACTCCAGGTGCAATAGGTCAACATAGGTTTGAAAATATATCAAACCCCACACAGCAGCTCACCACCAAAGCTACATGCCTGATAACAACAGACATGTCCAATATACTCCATGTCATGAATAGTTCATCCTCCACTTCAAGGGACCGTTCAAACAACAATATAGACTTATGCAAGTTCAAACAACTTTTCAGTAAAAATCCTTCCTTACCCATAACCAGAAAGTATCATCTCAGGATCTCACTCAAAAATAGAAAAAGATGCCTGCTCTGATACCAATTGAAATTCTAGTAGGTCAGAATTTCTAATGTCCCATGACATGTTAGGACATCTGATCTGACATAAACAACAAAAGTAAGGTATAAACAATAAAAATAGTACTGAAAAGCATAAACAACACACATAAATTGTTAACCCAATTCAGAGTAACTCTCCTACTCTGGGGGCATACCAAGCTAGGGACAAGTCCACTATGATAGTATCAATTCATAGACCCTACACCAAACATACCAACTTACAATTTACTCACTTATTCACTACCCCGTATTATACTTCTATCTAAGACTCACCTAGATATGAGACCCTCCTCAATCCCTCATCAATTACAGACATCGATTGGACAAAACAGGAAGACACACTTCCATAACAGCAAAATAGAAGATGCACTTCCATGACAATACCTTGTCAAGACTCAAAGCTAAACTTCATCGTTTATAATTTTTCTCCTAACTAAGAACACACCATGGAGTTGCTTAAAGCTTCCTCCAAGAACAATACTCACTCTTGCTTCACAACTTCAAGGAGAACTATACCAACTCTCCTTGAGAGTGGCACAAAGGCAAAGCCCTAAACTTCTACATCTTGGACCCGTGCCTTTTCTAGGTTACAAGCATTCTATTTATAACATATTCCCAATTGGATTTGGGCTTCTAATCGTAGAACATTAGCTGTTACAAATCAGCAGAAACCTCTACTACAAATAAAGTCTTCAATTATTAGTTTCTTAATATATCTCCATATTTAGAAATTGCATATTCTTCAATATTTTTACTTGATTCTTCTTGACCTACAATCAGCGCCACATAATATTGCATAATATTCTCATAATATTCTGTATTTGTTAAATCATAACTGAATTCACTAATCCAGCTCAACTCAGTCACGATATCGCATGACCCTGCATAGGACATCTTATCTGACATGTTGCTCCAGATGTTTAAACATTTCAACTTAACGCGATCCTTCACAAAATAGGACTTCTTGCTCTACATGTTCTTCATAGCAAGTAATCACATCCTATTTAACATATTGATGTTATATTTGTTTTACTAAAATTAATGTCAATCCTAAAAATAGAGAATTAACAGTGTACTCTAAGTTTTGTCACGATGTATCAGTGATCAAGTACGTACTCTAAGTATCATGTATCATCATTAGGATTTTTGTGTACTCTAAGTAGTTTTGTGTACTACAAGCATTTTGGGTTGTATATGTTTTGGGACTATAAATATTTTGTGTACTGTCAAAATTCTACTACTCTAAGTATGAAATTAAACCATCAATGTTATATCTAGTTCTTATCAAAATTTTACCATTAAGTGGTTGTATATATGTTTTGTAATATCATACCAAGTTTTAAATTATTAAGAAGACATTTAATTGTTAAACATTTAAGTGTTACTCTGCCAATTATTAAGACAACATTAACCAATTTCAGTCCCCACATTTAAGTGTTACCACAAATTTCATCTCATTCATATTGCTCTCGGGTTCATTTCTAACTTTTGCTCACATATCTTCATCCCATATAAACAAATCACATGTGTCACCACTCCTCCAAAATGAACATCTCCAAAAAAGTCTTCATTTATTGAACTCATTCTTGCATTGAAACAATATTATTCAACCTTGATAGCCACACAAATGTCCACCTCGAGTTTTTATAGATGAGGATGACATGGGTGATACAAACAACATTGAAACAAATGTTCTTGTGTTTTCTGTTGGAAAGAGTTCTGTGTTTTCTACTGTAGAGAAAATGGAAGAATAAGGAGTGAGTCAAAGAGTTAGGGCACACAGTTGAGAGATGATTTTTTATTAAGCATTCCAAACAATATAAAAGAACCATTTTATCCAATCAAATCCACCTGACACGTATTAAAAATGCCAACATAGTAAAAAAATATCCACCTGTATTGCTAAGTCACGTTCAGTTTTCTAGGGACAAAAGTTATTGACAGTAAATATTATGAGAATAATTCTTTGAAAAAAATTCTAAAAAACTAAAAATAAAATAAGATATATTGAGAGGGACTTTAACCCTATTTAATCCTTGTTAGTTTAACTTGATTTTTATCACATATAATCATATTTTCTCACTTGTAATATCATTTGTGTTTGCTACTTTTGATTTTCTAATATTGGAAACATTAAAGAATTCAAAAGCTTTTAAGTGATTTTGCTTACTTTAATAAATAAATAGAATTAAGACACTTTCAAAAAAGTTTTTCCGAAACCAATTATTCTGTCTCAAGTTGTGATGATTTGGACATTCAAGTCATGATAAACAAAGCATGGGTCCATCATACTATTAAATTTAGCTACTCTATCTCTTTCAATATATATTCACCAAATCAACAAGTACTAGTTTCTTCCCCCTTCTAAAACAACCAAATCAACAAGTTCATTCATTGGTTGAGACTGTGAGGTTCCCTACAAACTCTAGCTAACTTGTAGCTTCTATGCATGTATTAGGTGTTACTCTACACCAATCATTTTATATTTTTATACAAGAAAACATTAAACCTGTTTTGTGCCATGCCATGCCATTCCATACTCTTATCACATGCATGCCACATTCTCTGAATCCATGACCCTCTAATTTTTTCTAAAGAAAAATGAACATTTCTCTTACTATAGTTTTAGACTAAACCAATGATATAAATATATATATTTTTGGAAAATGTGATATTGATCAGACATTTATACAGAAAAATTATAATAGTAATGGAGATGTACATTATTTTTGGGGAACGGAGAGGAATTGTTCACAATAAAATGAGGGAAATGAATCGTGTGTTCTTTTTCTGCATCCTCGTTCTGAACCCATTACATCTCTGGCACCATACTGTTTATTAGTCAAATAATTTATGACAAGGTTACCTTTGTAGTAAATAAACTGTTGAAAGTATCAGACAATTCCAACCATTTGGGTCCCTTTCTTGTGCCTCTTCTTGGGTTATGTTCCCATATTTTAACACACTTTTCTCTTCCTTCAGACATCCGCATAATAAATAAACATACATCCCATATTTCTCTATCATGTATACTTGTATATTTTTTTAAATTGTTTTGTCTAAAGAGTAATGGTAAATTGGTAATAACTATTAGAAATACATGAAAATTATGCTTTTTAGTTTAAATAAAATAACAATAATAATAGCACTTAGAATTAAAGTTTCAGATTTAAATTCAAAATATGAAGCTTTTGTAAGTATAAATATTTTTTTAATAAAATTAATTTTAAACTTTCACAAAAAAAATAAATTCAAATTATTTGAAAATTAAAAATATTATTAATTATTTAATAATAATTTTTTTAATTAGAGTTTATTTATTATTTTTTAACTCAATCATTTTATTTAATATTTTCTTTGTTGGTGTTTTTCAAAAGAAAACCAATTGATATTGAATTCTGTGTATAAATAGAGCCCAAGACATGCAACACCTCCTTAATATAAACACATTAAGTGTCCCTCTTCTTGTCTCACACTTTCACAACTCTTCCTTTCTCACGAATTCCCAAACCTTGTATCAATTCAAAATCTACAACCAAACCACACCATGGATAACAACCACCACGATCACTACAACAATAAAACCACCTCCCAAACACGCCTTAAGCTCTTCGGCTTCCACGTCCAAGAAGACGAAACCATGCACGATAATCTCCAAGACTCAACAAACAAACCCACTTCTTCTTCAACCTCAACTTCCCCTTCAAGATCACCGGACTCCTCCGGTGCCGGCGAAGCCTTTCCACCTTCCTCCGGTGAGAGAAAATACGAGTGTCAATACTGTTGTAGAGAGTTCGCAAACTCACAAGCACTCGGTGGACACCAGAACGCGCATAAGAAAGAGCGTCAACAACTCAAACGTGCTCAGTTACAAGCTAACAGAAACGCCGCCGTTTCGTTTGTTAGAAACCCTATGATCTCCGCCTTTACTCCTCCACCGCACTTGCTCGCTCCGCCGGGGTCACTGATGGTTACACCTTCTCCTTCGTCTTGGGTTTACCTCCCGCCGCGTTCTGCTCCGCCTCCGTTCCACGTGTCCGTTTCACACGGTTGCGTTTTCCCGTCGGGAAACGGAAACACCATGATGAGTAGTAACAATAATAATAGTAATTTTTCTGTTGTGAAATCTGCGGGTGCAGGGATGTTTCCGTGTGTTGGCGTTGTAGGGGATTCAGTGTCTGCATTGTCAACGGTGCAGGTACAAGCCCGGGCCCACATGATTGATGGGCCCTGTTTGAGTAGGTTCAGTGGGCCCAATTTCGATGATGCATTGGGCTTGGATTTGCACCTTAGTCTCGCGCCAGCTGCGGCTCGGTCTTACGGCTCGGCTCAGTTTGAGTATTCTAGATGCTCCCCTTAGGACAATATTATATATATGATTGCTTGTACATTTTTTTTCTTCTTTTTTTTCTTTTTTATGCAAATTATTTCATTTGGTAAATGGAAAAGACGAAATTATTATCTAACAAAGTAGTATTTGAAATCTATATATAAATTATTGTAGCAATTGACAAGTTTTCATTTCTGCTTAAATTTTATGAAATGAAGTCTATATAGTATATAGCACAAAATTTTACAGAAGCCTTGATTTGAAAATACTCTGGTTTGTTGAAGTGAAAATAAAACATGATAAAGAGTTTATGATAAATGGTTTGATGTTTGATTTTCATTATATTTTAATTTATATTTCATTATTTAGATCTACCTAAGATCAAATTGAGAGGACTCGTGAAATCAATTAATAATGGCTAAATTTTTAATAAAATTTTAATTATATTTTGTAAAAAAAGAAAATATTAATGCAACTTTTAACACAACTCAAATTCAAGATCTTACTCAGGAGATTTGAGTCTAACTCTACTTAAACCAGTGTAATATTGCTATTTTTATTTTAATTAATATTATTTTCTTTTTTAATGATAAGTTTTTTTTTTAATTTATAATAATTTAAAAAATGATTGTTATATTAAATATGTTGGTAGTTTGCATAAGTTTATAAATTTATTTTGTAAATAAGGAATTAATAAATGTTTATACAACAATATATTTTCTTGATTAAAAAAAAATTGTTTATACAACAATATTTATTAAAAATTGCATTAAAAAATTGTAACATGACCAAAATTAAACAATAACAATCAAATTTTATCTTTAAGTAAGATTAGTTATATGAATTAACTTTTATTTATTATAGTATTCTATTTAAAATTATATATTTTTTAAATCTTAATCTCAAGATTTTTAATAATTTTTTTTATAATTTTTTTTATTTTTTATATTTTTGTAATTGTTTGATTTCTTTCCATTTGATTTATTCTATTGATCACATAATCTACAAATCTTCTTTGTACATGTTCAAACCACTCAAATTTATTTTTTATCATCTTTTTTACTATTGATGTTTCTCTAACACTCTCTTTAGTGTATTCATTTCTAATCATATTTTGTTTAATCTTACCAAACATCTAACACAACATTCTCATTTTTGCTACATTTGCTTTATTTTTGTATTGATTCTTAATTGTCCAATATTTTTTCATGTGCAATATTGCATGCCGTACTACAGTTTGATAAAAAAAAAATTCTTTATCTTAAGCGATACATTTGCATCACATAAAATCCCTGAAGCACTCCTCTATTTTTGTCACCTAGTTTGAATTCGATGGTTTATATTCCCTTCTATTTCCCTATTATTTTGTATTACATATTCAAGATATTTTAACCGTGTGACTTAAGGGATGAGATGGTCTCCAACTTTCACCTCTAGGTTAGACCTGCTTCTTCTTTTGTTGAACTACATTCCATATATTATGTCTTACTTTTTCGTAGACGAAAATCATGTGTTTCTAAATTTCATCTCCAAGTCTACAACCTATCATTTAAATCCAATTTCAACTCTCCAAGTAGAACTATGTTATCTGCTAAAATCTTTCATTATATTACATATCTTGAATGTGTTTCGAGAGTACATACAAAATTAAGGTAAAAATTTAGGGACTTATTATTGAACTTTGATGAAAACTTATTATAATAGAAAAATTGTCTATCTCTCTACCTTGTGTCCATATACTATTCGATACTCATTCATACATATCTTAAATAACTCAAATATATGCAATCTTAACCCCTTTAATCTCTAGAGTTTTCCACATAATTTCTCTAGACACTCTGTCATACGCCTTCTCCAATAAATAAAAAAATTAAGTTCAAATCTTGTTGGTTCATCTAATATAGTTGCATCACACGTCTTAGTAGATAGATTGCCTCCATAGTCAGTCTTATAGGCATAAAACCAAATTGGTTATTAGCGACTTGCGTCTTTTTTCTTAGTCTCTGTTTAATCACTCTTTCTCATAACTTCATAGTATGACTCATAAGTTCAATCTCTTATAAGTTGTATACTTTTATATATTTCATTGTTCCTATAGATAGAACTAGGGTGTTTCTTCTCCATTATTCATCCAACATTTCTTTAAGCTCATAACTTTATTAAAGAGTTTCATAAACCACTCAATACGTCAATCTTCAAGAATTTTCCATATTTCAATAGGTACGGCGTCTGACTCAATCGCCTTAGTGTTAATCATCATTTTCAACAGTTCTTTAATTTACCTCTTATTTTTAAATTCGATAAGAGTAATTATAACTTTGATCTTCTTGTTTCTGAATCTTTTTCTAATTTGTATAATAGTTTACACATTTCATAATTTGAAAAATAAAAAAATTTATATTTGAAAATGAATGTAGTATCTAATTTAACTTCTTTATTAAAATTTACAAACCCATATAATGATTCTTTCTAATTATTAATAGAAAGTAACATTATTGTCAGAATCACATGGTCATAACATATGAAGCACTGTCTCTTGTTGAGCAATGACACAATACTAAGAATAAAAAAAATAAACTAGTTTTACTCGTAGAGGGAAGTATGGGTCAAAATAAAAATAAAATTGATATATATATATATATATATATATATATATATATATATATATATATATATATATATATATATATATATATATATATATATATATATATATATATATATATATATATATAGTTTTCTTATGCGGTGAATTGAGGATGTTAATCCATTGATTTTGTGAAGAAAAGAAACCATATTATTAGAAAGGAATGAATGCGCTATGGGTGATTGGAGATGCTTGATGAATAGAACTGGAAAATAAACTAATTGTTTGTGCTATTTGTCACGTACTAATATGTTTCAATAACATTAACCATGCAAGAAAAAGAATCTTAGATTTTTGACAAGAAAGAGAATCTTATATGAAAACTGAAATATTGATTCCATTGTTCCCTCAATAGATTTATAAGATCTTTATGCCTCTCAAAGAACGTGAAACATTATCTCAATAACACTTTCTTTAACCCTTCGACACGGTTTGTTGCTGCCTTAATTATATGCTACTACTTGACTATATAAGAATTGATAGAAGGTGGGACCAATTACATAAGGCTAATTATTATATGTTGAAGTGCAATTTTGAAATATATAGTTTTATTGGATGAGACTAGTACAAAATTATTAGTTGAATTAAGTGCTATTATCTTTCATAATTCATCCAATAATTAAGCTTGATATATACTCTGCAGGTTGCTTTCTTAACACAAGGAAGATGATAGAGAGAGTATTTGTTGAGAAAATAATAGACAAGAGTCGCTTCTAACTCTCAAGAGATCACTTGTGGGCAAGAGTAAGACAAATATATGTGTGGATTTAGAGTGGTTTGTTTTGTCTTTTTTAAAAAAAATAGATTTTTATAATATTATATAATTTTGTGTAAAAAAAAATTTATAAAGAAATTTTTATAAAAATTTCAATTGAAAATTTAGTTTAAATAATTATTCTTAAAATGTTACTTTAGGTATTTCATTTTTTTTATTGAAATTTTTCTTAGATATTAAAATTTCAAAAAATCATTTAAATTTGAAGCTATTTCAAATAGATTTTCATAAAAATTATTTTTGAAATACAACTTTAAAAAAATTAATACGATTTTGACTATGTGTTGGTCTTCAATAATGTGTGTTTATGTTATAGGATGTCAAAATTAGTATTTCAATTTAGAAAAACAAATATAGAAAAACTTCTAATATTTTGAAAAATCTATTTTCAAAAATATAAAAAAAAAAAATCCATTTTTAAAGCTGAAACAAACAGACTCTTAATGTCACGAATTTTATCCAAGCTTTTACCACGAGATAAGATTTAACATAATCTTGGTTTTATCACAGACTGATCAAGAATCTAAAGAAATTTTACTATAGGTCGATCTTGAACCTAAACTAGGACTTGACCACACAATCTTCAAACTAAAGTTTTTTTACGGGTTTAGCTTCTAACCCACAAATAATTCCTAAATGGATAATATTCAACCAATGTGTATACAAAATATTCCCTTGGTGAACTTTATAATTCAACCATTCCAAAATTACAACTAATCCTCATTCACAAAATAACTTTCTCGCAAAGACACTTTGGCTAAAATATTAGTGAAGGAAAGTAAAAGAAAAGTTTAGAGAAAAGGAGGGAGAGAGTTAGAAGTGTTAAAGCATGTTTCTGGATTATTTGAAATGAGGGAAGAGACCTCTATTTATATACTAGAGATTGGCTAAAAAAATTTAAAATTAATTCTTTTTAAGACCTTCCAATCGTTTAAATATTCAAAATATAATCGATTGTAAGTTCAAAATAGAAAAGAAAAGATATCTAGTCTTTGCACATTATTAAGGTGTTGTCCTAATCTCTTGGGGCTCAATTTGAGTTGAGCTAATCGATTAAGTCAATTTCCTAAACAATAAGAAAATTCAAACCTTTGCGTAGAGCTAATTTGACAGCTCCCAATTCATCTGGTACAACTTCAAAGCATCTTTCAAGATATATAAGAATTAATTTGAAAAGATGTTTTAGTGTTTGTGTGCTTTAGACATGTAATTTTACGAGAACGCCTTTATGATTTACAAAGTATTCTCTCATACTAATTAGGATAGAGATTTCTTGCACTTCAAGACTTTATCAAATACTTCCTTTTGTAGACACTGATTTGAGTTCCCCTGAGATGAGGTTTGAGTCACATTCCATTTGATTACCATCATCAGATAGTTAAGTCCATCAAATCCTAATACTTAGGTTTATATCTTTATCCGTTTAACCGCTTATGCTTGACTTATTATAAGACATTTTTCATTTCAATTAGTTGTCATCTGTCGCGGCGCGAAAAATTGAGAATAAGCTATTGATTAACTCATCTCACCAAAAAAATAAGAGTCGCCATCGAACTTTATTGTTTCTAAAGGAATGAGAGAAGATCGAATAAAACCCACAAAAGCATG